GGAGGGTAAGGGCCAGAGCCAGGGCCATTGTGGAATAGAGAAGGCAATGGACTTAAGTCCAGAAGACTTGGGTTAAGAAACCTGCCTTTTACTGGGTGTGTATAACCTGGGACCATGCACGAAGCCTGCCTCAGCCTGCATTTTCTCTTCTGTAAACTGGGAACAATTTTCACTCCTCAGAGTCATGGTGGAAGCCGATGCCATTTGTTAATTAAGTACAGCGTGGTTGTTGGCATATCAGACTGTTGGTGCAACTGTGATGGTTGGTGCTGTGTTGGATCCTGATAAAACCCAAGCTACCCCAGGAGAGCAGTGTTGTCTGCTGGATGGACAAACTTTCCGCTTCAGACCGAGGGTGCGGGTCAAGTCCATTCATGAAAATTCAGTTGAGCCAGAATCCTGCCTGAGCATTTCGTGATGCAGGCAGGATGCTGTTGGGTTGAAGAGCCACAGGTCACTGCACTCTGCATTTGGGACCTCTTCCAAAAAGAGAAGAGACTCCAACACATTTTGGCCAACGGAAGAAATAGCCTGGCCTTTTCAGCAAGCAACAGGACTAAATATAGCAGGCTTGATGCACAGGAGCCTTGCAGGAAGTAGAGAATGTAGTTTGGTTAATCTGTTTCTCAGAAAGACACTCGTTATTTGCTATGATAAATTCCATCTAGGGCCTAAGTTGGCGTATGCTGTGTGTGTGTGTTTTAGCTGGAACAGATGCTGTATAAGTGAAGACTGTTGTGAGAGCAGCTGCCATTTCGTAGACTTGGTCCCGTCTGAGGCGGTGACAGCGGTCGTGTTTTGAGAAGGTAGCGTTGGATCTCTGAACTCTAGTTGGAACTGCTTATGTGATGTCTTCTTAAATTTTAACCTTTCACAAAATGTAGTTTTTTATGTTCCTTCCCCAACTGTACCTAGAAAGGGTGACTATTTGGTAGCAAACAGATTTTAAACCTGTTTTTAAAAGAGGTTCTGCTCCAAAAGCTCCAGATTTCACCCCTGTGCTCGTGTTCACATTTCATGTAAACAAATAGTAAATGTGCAGATCTCTCCTCTCTACTTTGTTTACAGTGAAGCAGGTCTGCGCTTTCTACAGGCGGAGTACTGTTCCAACTGCAGAAAAAGGCATAAACTCATGTAATTTTAACTTGCTGTGTTTTTTTATCTGACCAGTTTGATATGTCTTGGTACCTGTATCTGGGATATGTACCCCTCTACATAGAATTTTGTAAAGAAATTCACCCCAACGTCCTGGGCCAGCCAGCACTGTCTTGGAAGGAAGTTGGGCAGCAGGCATTTTAACGGGATAGCATAGGTCAGGGGTCAGCAAACTTTTGAGATGGAAGAGCCGCCAGGGGTCGGCAGACTGCAGCTCGTGAACCACATGCGGCTGTTTGGGTACGTACATGGGGCTCTGAAGTAAAATTGAAAATGAAAATAAAACTATCATAATTTATAACATTTTTAAAGGATATTATTCACATAATGGTGATTATGTAAAAATATATTTATGGCTCTTGAATAATTTTTAAATTGTTGTGAGGGACAGGATTGGCTCTTCCAGGGTTCGGCAAGCTTTTGAGACGGAACGTACCCAAAGAGCCGCATGTGTCTCACGAGCCACAGTTTGCTGACCCCTGATGTAGGAAATGCACAAAAGAAACTGAGAGGGATCAGTGAGAAGAAGCTTTCCCAATCCGTGATTCAGGAGAGCGAGCTGTGACCATGTTGGTTCCACAGGTCGGTTAGGTTTGCCTCCGAGGATTAAGATTTCGTTCCAGTCACCTTTTTGTTCCTCAGGCATGCAGGGTTGTCATCAGGCGGGACCAAGCGAACCTGCTTTGGAAAGCTTGCCTAGTCGGAAGGACCAAGGCAGCAGGAGCAGGCGGGGCAGGCTGCACACGTGGGCTTCTGTTTGGCAGAAGGTGGAGATGTTGTCGCCCCTCATCTGCCTCCTGCCCCTACAGGCCCTCGCGTTGCTCAGTGGCAGGGGCTGTCACAAGAGGCTGGCGCCCTGTCACATGTGAGTGTCCCCTGTGCTGGATCACAGGTGTGACCTGTGCTGTTAGACTATGAGCTTCCTGAGGACACGGGGCAAAGAATTAAAGTACCTGTCAGATCCAACAACAGTATCAGCAACCGTAAAATCACAGTCAATCTAAGCTTCTCAACCTCTCCTTTCATGACATACTCAGAAAACGACAGTGTCCACACCGCGGGGACTCTGGCTGCTATGCGCTTCTGCCAGGCCTTACGCCCTCCTGTGTGACTAGGAAAGGTGCCCCTTTCTCAGGCGACTTTACTGCCACCTGTTGGGAAATTGTTGTAATGAAAATACAGATCTGTGATGACTGATGTGAATGATGCTGCCCTCCAGACTCGCTCAGTGCACTGCCTGCTCAGCAGTGCATAGCAGCTCGGAGACTCCCCCCAGGAGCCCACCTGGACACCCTGCAGCCGAGAGAGTCAGTGTTTGAGCAAACCTAAGTCACGAGCGGTGCACCGGGGTCCTGGGAGACCAGAGTCCACCCTAACCAAGGACCAAGGTCAGTGAGCATGGAAGTAGGGCTCTGACATCCCCGGAGGCACCGAGAGCTTACAGAGCTTCCTGTCGGCCGGTGAGACCCTGGACCCCACAGCTTCCGCCTCGGTCCTCATTCTGAGGACGAGTTTGTCACTGTGGTCTCCCTTGGGTTTTGGCAAAGGAAGGATTGGAGGTCTTTTCTGTATTTCAGAATAACCTCAGTCCTCTTACCGCCGCTGGCTTCACCTGTTCCCAGCAGCCCGCAACTGTCTCGCAGGCCTCTGGGCCCTGCCCTTTCTCAGGCTGCTAGGGTTTCGCCTCCTGGACAGCCCATCCTTTCCTGTGTGCATGCCGTGCCCCCCTTCTTCATTTCATCCCTCCTGCTTTTGAACCCGCAGTTGCTGTTCTCCCCTCCAAGGCCTCTCGTTGTCTCTCTAGCATCTCATCACTTGGTGCGCTTTGGCCCAGAACCTGTTACTTCCTTGGCAACATGGTGGTTCAAGTCAATGGTTCCATTTCTCAGGGTTCAGAGTGAATCTCATTAATATTGTATTTATGTGGATGTTTGCTGCCAGAGTGAATCAGGAGTTTTTATGAGCATTCTACGATGCAGTTGAGAGGCTTTTAGGCTTCTTGAATTTTAATGTAGACGTGTGTGTCAGGAGGACTCAGGACAGAACTACGCATCCTTCCCAAGGCTGCTGCTTTGAGAACATACTAGAGTAACCCTGTCTGTCTCAGTAACTCGCATTAACAATCTTTACATTAGAACTTGTTGGCCTGGTTTTTCTCAATATGAGGTTTCTTAAGTATGTTTTGATTAACTATTTAATGAATGTTCTTGTATGAAAAATGCTACTCAGAATCAACTGAAATGGTGTTAAAATTATCAGTTGACGTTACCTGCAAGTCTTCAGTAGAAAACGGTGATGCTTTTCTAAAGAAACAAAGCTTGTGTATCACTCTTGTGAATGTCCTTGTCTGATGAGACAGTACAGTGACAGGGCTTGTGGCACCGACGGCTGTGTGACACAGCTCGCTTCCTACCATGCGCCCGCCCAAGTCTAAGACACAGCCTCTTCCGATCAAATTGCTCTGACGTAGCTTAGGGCTTTTAATGATAACTGTGGAGAAAATAAGCCCAGCTGCTTTTCACCTTGGGGACTGGGTTGTTTCCTTTTCCAGGGCACCCAGTGGTGTCTTTCTGCTCCAGAAGTGGGTGGACACTCTGCGGCTATGGAGATAATGCCCGGGGTGGCCCGACAGTGTGCTGGATAGAAGGATCACCTGTCCTCGTGGTTCCCGGCTCTGGCTGCACTTTCGGGAGTCCTAGGGTGCCTCTGTTGACAGTTGGGGAAATGGAGAAAGGGGTGCTCACACTTAGGTGTTATGACCATCACAGTACTAGGTGGCTAGGCCGTCTGCCCAGATCCCGGTGCAGATGGTCTGATTTTGAACTTTGAGCCATGCCGAAAACCAGGATGCTTGCCACTGCCGTTGGCTTTGAAGGTTCTGCCCTGTAATGAGATCGAGTGTGACAGCTCTGCGTGGCTCACATTGAAGAGACTTGGTTACATGGGAGGGGCACTCGCTACCCATCCAGAGCCTGCCAGCTCAGGCAATGTGTGGCAAACGCGGTTAACTGCTGTAGGCGCACCCAGTGGGCAGAAGGGAGCCGCTAAGCTCGTTTACGAAATCAGTGTTCCATGATGACAGTGAGTTTTCGTCCTTAAGGACGCATACTGGAAAATGCATAGGTACACAGACAGGGCGGCCGTCTGTCCTCATTCCCTTTGCAGTTGTTGGGGGCAGGGGCGGAAAGAGGTGCAGATATCATTGGCAGCATCTGCTGGAAACCCCAGGGGGCCTCTGTCAGGTGCTGGAAACAGAGGGAGAGCCTGTGTCCTCAGAAGTTTATCTTTCACGTAGGGGGAGTTTGTGTGCGTGTATATGTGTTTAGAACCTCTTGAGAAGAATTTGTATTTTTGGCTTTTCTAAATAGGAAGTTCGGTAAATATATCTTGATGACCATTTTGGCAAACATCCTTTTAGGAGAAGGCCAGCAACTCAGTGAAAACGTGTGAATATGTGTGAGTCTGTGTGTTTATATGTCACGATACCATATGTGGGTTTTGTGTGTGGACATGTACACAGACAAGAGGTGCTGCCTCACCGGAGACTGTGAAACTAAGACACATGGTGGATGGGAAGTGCTCAGCACAGTGGTTGGCACGTAGTGATGTTCAGCAGTTCTCAGTCCTGCTCCCCATCACACCACCCTCCGCCGCTAGAGGCGCGCTGAGGGAGAGGCCTGTGGGTTAGGGCGAGCACAGACGGGGAAAGCCAGATTCACGGCAGTGCCTCTCACATCTATTTGATTACAGTACCTTGTGCCTAAGCCTGGAATTGCTCATCACAAACACTCTGGAAGGCATTATAATACAAAGACATACTAATGATATGGTCTCTTTTGTTTCAGGAACTTTACATTGCTGTTGGAATATCTGGGGCCATCCAGCATTTAGCCGGGATGAAAGACAGCAAGGTAAAGTGCACAGTATGGATGATACCAAGAGTGGAGGCTTGCAGTGTCAGATGTTGGGTCTCATGGTCCGTCTCCACAGTTACCGTGCATGTGGTTGAACCATTCTGGGAGCTGGAAGAAGCGCGTGTGTCCACTGCCTGGAGGTGTAGCATTGGTCATTGGTCTCAGAGGCAGGGCCTGCTGTGGGCATAGGCCTGGCCCCGAGTCGCGTGCTGTGTGCACCTGGGTTCTTTTGTCAGCCCGAGGCAGACGTTGGATGATGCTCTCTGAGATCCCTCCGCCCTGGCAATCTGTGGGTAGAGAATGTGCGTGAGCGTAGTTAGAGATTCTGACCATCTAATTAGTGTACGAGGTTCTGATCCCTGGCTCTTGTCTGCTTTGCCCTGGTCCCCAGCAGTCCCACCCTCACATGCCTTCTTGGGCTGTCACTGAAGTGTGACTGCCTGACACGTTTTGGGTGGGAGTGTCTTAATACCTCAGTGATTCTTAAAAGTATAGTGTACAGTGGCAACACTTGCTTTTAACTTGCTGCTTGGACTGTGTCTGGAAGTCCTGTGTAATGACTGTGAACATATATTTCAGAATATGGCATGTTAATTCATGCATGACAGTGTGCAGTGTGAATTATGAACTTAGTCTGTCATGAAGTCAGAGATGCTTCTAACACCCCTGCTTTTATCTGTCCGGATGGAAGGTTGATGGGAAAGGTAATAAAACTTTTAACAGGCTTAACTTTTAACTTGAAAAAATGTATGCACTACCTACCTCCTTGTAACCTCAAAATGAATTGGCCCCAAACCAGCTAGATTTCACAGTTGGATGACAGGTTTCTTTCCTGAGTTCTGAGAACAGCAGTGCCAGTGGGGAAAAATGTTACTGCTGCATTAAAGAGGAAATACCACTCCCAGCACCAGCAATCTTACAAAATACTTTCAGCCGGCCCAGTTCAGACATATCTAGCATCCTGCTTCTCTGAACTAAAAGGTCCTGCGTGCTGAGAAGATCCTGGTGAAAATGGTCGTTCCAAGCCACCAGGGCTGAGCAGGGGAGAAACGGACTAGATGGTAAATACCAGAGCAGAAAGGGAGCAGATGAAGCGAGGGCCCGGTGTTGGAGAACACGCTGTAGGAATAAACTGGAGCCAATACTTGTCCACCAGTCAGCAGATACCTGAGCACGCGGGGAAATGTTCAAATGAAAGAGGCGGAGCCCCTGTCATCACTGTCACGTGTGGGAGCGCAGCGGTGTGTGGCTGTGATTTGGGTGAAGCCTGACAGTGGGATTGTAGACTGATCAGTTTAAATCTGATAGTTGCATTGCCTGCACGCTGCCCTTTTAATTAGCACCATGGTGTAGTCCAGCAGTTCTCAACCTTCCTAATGCCGCGACCCCTTAATACAGTTCCTCATGTTGTGGTGACCCCCAACCATAAAATTATTTTCGTTGCTACTCTATAACTGAAATTTTGTTACTGTTAAGAATTGTAATGTAAATATCTTTTTGTTTTCCGATGGTCTTAGGCAACCCCTGTGAAAGGGTCATTTGACCCCCAAAGGGGTCACGACCCACAGGTTGAGAACCGTTTGTGTAGTCGAAGGAATGTGACATCCGCTTGTTCTGCCCAGTGAGTCAGGGGAATGAAAGCACTTTTTGAACAATATTCACATTGATATGGTTGAATACAGGCTGTGCCTTACCAGCCCTGAAGGGAAGAAGAGCATGAATTTATGAGGACGTGAGGAGTGCTCCAGGGTGCAGGCAAGGTTTATCATAGTTATTTACAGTCCATGATTGAGGAATATTCTTGAGGAATCTGGAAAACAGTACCCAGCCCAAGTCTTTTTTCTGAAACACTTCAGTGGTTCCTTGCCCACAGTTGTGTGCTGTTTCTGTTTTTTTTTTGTTTTTTTTTTTAAGATTTTATTGAGGAATTGGGGAATGGGAACAGCGCTGGGGAATCACGGGAAGGGGAACAGACAAGTTGCTGTCCTTTTGTTCTTCAGTCTAGTTGTGGAGGACGTTGCTTCACTGGCCCAAGCTGGCACTATCATTGCGCTCTTCCTGGGCAAGGCAGATCAGTCGCCGGCTTCTGGACGGCCGCTCACGGCGGTTGCTTGCCGCTCACGCTGGCTGCTGGCTACACATGGTAGCCCATGACAACCCTCTGAGGCAGTGGCTGCAGCCCAGCTCCAAGTTGAGCTGTTGTTCAGCATCTTAGCTGTAGAGGGCAGTGTCACTGGCCCTCATATCTGGGATCCGAACCAGGGCCCTCTGGCGTCCCAAGCCAGCTCTTAAACAATGCGCCACTCGGCCGGTCCTGTGTGCTGTTTCTTTAAAAATAACTTTCATGTAGTGGGATGGAAAAGCTTACAGATGATTAAACTGTCAGATGTTTAAGTAGGTGGCCCCCAGGAAAATCATTACCCATCGCTAATTAAGTAAGTCTGCTAGTAGCTGTGAAACAGAATGCATGTATCTGGAAGAGAAACACCTCCATGCACATCAGGGCCTGGGATTCAGAATGTTCGTCCTGGGACTTTGGGTTGGAGGCTCCGATGGAAACCTTGGTTCAGGTTCTCTGAGCAGACGTCTCTCGGTGCATGTGGCCTGTTCCCCTGGATGGGCGGTTCCCTGAGCTACACTGTGCCCCCGTCTCAGGTTTCTTGGAAGGTTATGCCCATCGTTTGTGAGGGTTTCCTCAGGGCCCCTCTAAGGAACTACACATATGTTGTGTGGCCTATATTTGAAGTCAGATGGTATCAAAATACGTTTAAAATGTGTTCCAGCTGTTTTCATGAGATAGAGCAATAGGCAGCTAGAAACCTAATGTTGCTTCTAGAGATCTGAATTTTTATAATGTACAATCTGTAAAATGACACCACATTAGAGTGCGAACCCTATTTTTACTTTAATGGCTGTGGTGTTAGAAGCCATCTATGGGGAATACCAAATTATTTGTGATGTAGAAATACATCTGTGCTAATAAAAGAATAATTGTTAAGCACAGCACCTGTTTGAGCAAGTGTTTCTCCTTAATCTGTTGCTAATCTGTTGTCATAACCTCCCCATTTAAAATAATTTTTGGAGACCAGAGCATTTGGTAGTTTTTGTAGGAGATGTGGTAATTGTTTTCTTACATTTATTTTCTGCATGCATAATGACTTAAACTTTTTTGTTTTCAAGTTCTCCTTTACTAACAGGCTGACCAGACCTTTAACTTTTACATTCTCACATTGGACCCTGGATAATAATTTTTAAATACAAAAGGGAATGCAGTCAGCATATGGAGGGTAAATGGTTTGAGCCGCAAATGCTATGAATCGGTACGGATTTGTTACTTTTTCTATGTTGAAATCTAACATTTATAATCACAAGTTTAAATTTATATGTTAATAGGAAATAGAAAATATTAATCATTTTATAAGTGAAATAAGCTTAGGGTCAACTCTAATAATAATAAATACCTCGTGATGGTTGATAAAGGAGACTTCTAACTATCTTATCGAACAAAACACACTAAATAGGAAATGTTACTGAATTTTATTCAGTTTATCTAAAATTTTTCAATGACCTGTAAAACTTTCTGGTCATATTTTGTTTGTTTGGTTTAAGTCAGGTTATGGAGGTATAATTTACATACAGTAAAATTCAACTTGTTTAGTATATTCCACTGAGTTAAGAATTTTTTTTTCTGGCAAAATATAAAATTTACCATCTTAACCATTTTAAAGCGTATAATTAAAAATTGTGTACACACTGTCAGTGGTATTAAGTATATTCATAATGTACAACCATCACCACCATTTAATTCTTCATCTTATAAAAGTGAAACTATACCCGATAAACACTCACTTCCCATCCTGCTGGCATCCACCAGGCTCCCTCGTATCTCCACGATTTTGTCTACTCTGAGCACCTTGTATAAGTGGAACCATCGTCCAGCCTCTGTCTTCTTGTGACTGGCTGATGTCACTGGGCATCACGTCCTCAGGGTCCATCCACGCTGCAGCACGTGTCAGGATGTCCTTCTTTTTGAAGGCTGAAGAGCATTCCGTTGCCCGTAGAGACCACATCTTGTTCATCTGTTCATCCACTGAAGGACCCTAGGGTGGGCTGCTTCCACATCTTAGCTGTTGTGAAGGACGCTGCTGTGAGTGTGGGTGTTGCAAGTGTGTTTTTGAGACCGTGCTTTCATATTTTGCGGGTGTCTCCCCAGAAACGGGATTGCTGGATCATATAGTCATTCTGTGATTAACGTTTTGCGGAACCGCTGTGATGTTCTCCTCAGCGGCTGCACTGTATTACAGTCCCACCAAGCAGCCACATGGTTCCAGTTCTTCTGCGTCCTCACCAACACTTCTTGTCCCTGATAGCCACCGTCCCGGTGGCCGTGAGGTGGCATCTGACTGTGGTTTTCACTTGCGTTCCCTAGTGGCCAGTGATGCCGAGCATCTTCTCATGTGCTTGTTGGCCATTTCTGTATCTTTGGAAATGTGGCCATTTGAGTCCTTCGCCCAATTTTGAATCTGGTTGGTTGTTTTCTTTTGTTGTTGAGTCTTTGGAGGTTTTAAAAAAATATATTCCGTTTGTTAATTCCTTATTAGATACATGACTTTAAATATGTTCTCTCGTTTTCTGGGTTGCTCTTTTACTCTTTTGACAGTGTCTTGTCCATAAAAAATTTTAATTTCCGTGAAGTTCAGTTTGTCTATTATTTCTTTTATTGCTTGGACGTTGATGTCATGTTTAAAAAGGCATTGCCAAAACCGATGTGATGCAGCTTTTGCCCTATATTTTCATCTAAGAGTTTTATAGTTTTAAGTCTTATGTTTAAGTCTTTGAATTAATTTTTGTATATGGTGTTAGGTGAGGGTCCAGCTTCATTCTTTTATATGTGGATGTCCAGTTTTGCCAACGCCATTTGCTGAAAAGGCTGTCCTTCCGTCATCGAATGGTCTTGACTGCCTTGTCAAAAATCATTTGATCATACTGTGAAGGTTTATTTCTGGATTTTGTTCTTGTTTGTTTGGTGGTTGTAAGCTGCCTCTGTGTCAGGGATTAACCAGAGGTGTGAGATTCATGTTTTCTCTGGACTTTCCTGGGCCTGCATGTTTCCCTGGATATGTGCGGTCACTTTGCAATTCCCCCACATATACAATTGCTTTTGAATTGCCTTGTGTGGCTCCCTGGTGTTTTTTGCTAAAGGCCTAACTCTGTTTGTATTTCACAGACAATTGTGGCAATTAACAAAGACCCAGAAGCTCCAATTTTTCAAGTGGCCGATTACGGAATAGTTGCAGATTTGTTCAAGGTAAGCTGGCCGGGAGGGTGATGGCTGTTATGTAGATCGTCACCCAAGAATGTCTCCGCTGTCAGGGTGAAAGCTATTACAGGGAGACATGTGTCTGCATGTATCTGCATGTGTGTGCATTAATACATGCACAGCAGTTCGAACGACTGAAAGCGAAGTTGTCCCAGTACACACATGATGTTTACCTAAAACGTGTGACTTCGTGGCATCTGCTGAGTCAGTCACAGTGTGAAGTGACTCCACAGTCACATTCAGCAGGTACCTTCACACCAGGTGTGGACATTTACACCAGGTTCCCTCCTTTGTGGACTTGCCAGCGATGCTATAGCTTTTCCAGGCAGACTGGCCACTCGGGTCCCCCTTACGTGACTCCACGAGGCGCTGTGCTTGGCTTGCTCAAGAGCTCGAGCTTTCGTAACATGACAAGTGTTGGGAGAACTCTGCCCCCAGCCTCACGCCTCACTTTCCTCAGTGTTTCCATGGCGCCGCCAGCTTCGTGTTTGTCCTCCACGTGAAAGAAATGACTTTGGTGCTAGGTGAGCACCTGATGCTCCCTGGGCCGTGTTTAAAGGCCAGTGGTGGGGCACGGCCTGGCCGCTTTCTGTCCCCCATGGCTGCCTATGAGCTTGTAGGTCATCTTGTGCAGAAGTCACTCACATGGGGATTGAGGCTCTGGAAGCAGCATCCAGCCCTGGGGGAGGTGGGTTTGCGGAGCCAGGAACCCGTCCCCAAGAGGGGAGGCCGCTGCGGTGGGCCTGGCTGCTGTCCGAGGACAGCCATGGTGGCCCCAGCAGAGGGCTGCATCGCTCCCGCAGCTCGAGCTGCACTGTGTGCCCCGAGGTGCTGACTCAGGAGTGAGGGCAGACAGCAGAGTGCGGCGTCCTTGCCCCAGAAGCCCTCTCCCCAAAGAGCCTGTACGTGCTTTGGGAAGAAGGCAGCCCCTCTTCAGTGACCTTGAGGTCCTGTCACCTGGCGCAGCAATGGAAGACCAAACAATGGCAGTCACTTGGCCACTCAGATATCCCAGTAGCAGGAAAGGTAGTATGAAAAAGAGAAACTTTGCAGTTGTGTACTGGGACGACTGTGTTCAAGTAGCAAGCATCTAGTTCCAGTGAGATGCAGTGAAGGGGTGCAAGTCTGTCCACTTTACAGCGAAATGAAACACTTTCTGAACCCTAACCATGTATCGTGCAGACATGTTTGCAAGCAGACATCTACTGGAGTTGCCTTTTATTTTTCCTCCAGAAAATATTTTAATAAGCTCAGAAGTGATTTTGGTTATTTTAAAGGTGTATTTTCAGTTTGCTTGTGCAGTGTGTGTTGCTCACAGGTGGGGGTCACTGAGTAAAACCCTGAGTGTCCAGCAGTTGGATGTCCATGCAGCCATTGTCGATGGGGTGGTGTCACATGCACAGAGCCGCTTGCGTGAAGGCATTAAGGGCAGCCCAAAGTTTGGGGGAGCGGGGGGAGGATACTGTCTGAGAAAAAAATAGTTACAGATTGTGAAAACACTAAAAATACTGAAGTTTCAGCGTCCCTTTGTTACTACAAGAGGAACACAAATGAGGTGCATTCAAGTGAGGTGCATTCTTTGAATTTGTCTGTGTCCCTGAGAGAGGTGATTTTGGGAAATGGCTCAGCAGGTCATTGGCTCCGCTATGCCAGGTGCCCGAGTTTGTGCCTTTTTCTCATCACTCTGCCGTTCCCACTCTCCAGGTGCTATGGCCGGTGGTTCAGCACCACTGTGCCTCAGATACAGGGCAGTAACAAGGACCGCAGCTGTGACCAACTCTAGGAGCCTGGACATTGGCCACCAATGGCCAGGCCATCCTATTGTTTTCTCAGCTGAAATCAGAACAAGGGTGAGACAGGTGACAGAGGAGTGGACATGTAGGTTAGTGAATGTGCTCCTCCTTGGGACCACCCTCTGACTTTTTTTTTTTTAAGAAGGCCTCACATATTTATTACTGAACCAACCTACTAGTGCAGAAACATATTAAGAGAAAAATCATTTTTTCCAATAAAACACACCCAACTGTTCAGATAGTAGTGATCTTTTCAGCGCCATGGTTAAGATCTAAGCAACACTGACACAGCATAAATACGTGGTGCCATCTCATGTCGGTTCCTTATAGACCCAGCTTGGTTCTTCTCCATTGTCTCCTTTGGAGTTGTACCTGATTTTATTACCAGTTTTCATCTGAATCCATTGGGGAATGGGCCGATACTGCTTTTGTTTCTTGGCCAGGAATCGCTTGATCCTGAAAGTCTTGTGAGAAGACATGGCGAGGAAGGGTCAACTGCATGCCCTACAATGGTGGCGAAAAAGACCACCCTCTGACTTTTAATAATCAGATATGTAAATGCATAACAACATTCAAAATATAACCATATAGATTAGGAATGAGAATGAAATAGCATTACCTAATTTAAATCAAGATCTTAAAGAAAATAGAAGTCAAGTAATAGCTGTGTGAAAAGGACTTTTCTGGAGTAAAATTGGTGTAAAATTTTTAATTGTCAAGTTGCATCGCCCATAACAAGTATACATAGCTGTTAGACTAATAATTCTCTAAGGGATATTATGCCCACCAAATTTTATGGCTGGAGTAAAAAAGTATATGCATAGTATTTTGTTTTCTTGTATTTGCTGTTTCACTTCACCCTTCAACAGTCAGGAGTTAGAACAGGTTTTCTTTTTTTTCATTTCACAAAACATATGGCACAGTAATTAGCTTCATTTCATAGTCTGCCTTGGCCACATAGTAGTCTTCTTGCCAAATTAAAAAGGGATTATTAAAATCCCTTTAAATAATATAAATATGACACTACCCACTGTACAAGGTTGTAACGAAGATTAAATGAGATGATACCACACCTAGTACAGTCGTCGTTACATGTCAGCCCACCTGTTTCCTCCCATACAGGTGTGGACTAGGTGCTCAAGATTGATAAGTACGGTTGACCCTGGAACAACAATGGTTTGAACTGTGTGGGCCCACTTTTACGTGGAGTTTTTTTGTTTGTTTGTTTGTTTTTGGCCATAAATACTACGAATGTATTTTCCTTATGGTTTTCTTAATGACATTTTCTTTTTTCTTAGCTTATTGTATTGCAAGGATAATACAGTATATAATACATATAGCATAGAAAATATGTGTTAATTGACTGTTATCGGTAAGGCTTTCAGTCCACAGTAGGCTATCCGCAGTTAAGTTCTGGGGGAGTCAGAAATTATGTGTGAATTTTCAACTGTATTGCCGGGGTCGGTGCCCCTGACCCCCCTGTGCTGTTCAAGGGTCCACTGTATTATAATTGGAGTTTGAGTGACAGCACATAGAGCACCACCTGACTGGTTGTTGTTTTGTTAAAGAAATATAATAGCTTTACTGAGATATAATTCACATACTACAAAACTTGCCCTTATAAAGTGTCCAGCCAGTGGTTCTTAGTATATTCACCAAGCTGTGCAGCCCTCACTGCTCTCTGATCCCAGAACAGCGTTATCTCACCTGCGGACAAGGAAGCACATCCATTTAACAGTCACTCCCCATTGCAAGCTCTGCCCAGCCCCTGGAAACAGCTCATCTAGTTTGTATCTCTGTAGATTGGCTGGTCCTGGACCTTTCAGTTACACACAATCATGTACTGTCTGGTCTGTGGTGGCCGGCCTCCTAGTACGGTAGGTAGGCCGGCCCGTCCATGCTGTCGCCCGTATCAGTTCTCGGTTCCTTTTCACTACTGAATAGCTTCCATTGTCGGGTAGGTCACATTCCGTTTTCCCATTCATTAGTCGATGGCTGTTCTGGTTGTGCAGACGTGTTTCCATCTCGTTAGGGCCTGTCTAGGAATGGCATTGCTGGGTCACTAGATGACTCTGTTTAACCTTTTGAAGAACTGCCAGACTGCTTCCTGAAGAGGCTGCTTGGCTCACGTCCCCAGCAGGAATGTGTGAGCACCGGGTTTCCCCAGGCCCACTGGCCCTTGGTACTGTCCGTCTGTTTCTTCCCGTAGCCGTCCTAGAGGAGAAGTGACACGTCGCCGTGGCTGTTAGGCGCCTCTCCCTCCTGACCACTGATACTGAGCGTCTTTTCATGTGCATAGTGGCCATCCCTGTGGAGAAATATTTGTGTGGGTCCTTTGCCCATGTTTTCAATGGAATTGTCTTTTTGTTGTTGAATTATAGGAGTTCATAAATTCTGGATACTATGCCATTATCCAATATATGATTTTCAAATATTGTTTACCATTTTGTAAGTTGTCTCTTCACTTTCTCGATAATGTCCTTTGATGCACAACATCTTTAAATTGTGACAAAGTGCAGTGTATCTGTTTTTTTCTTTTATGGTTTTGGTGTCATACCAAATCCATTGCCACATCAAAGATCCTGAGATTTACTCCTGTAGTTTCTCCTAAGAGTTTTATGGTTTTAGCTCTCCTAGGTCATTGATCACCTTGAACTAATTTTTGTAGGTGGTATGAGGTCCCACTTCACTCTTTGGCATGTGAACGCCCAGTTGTCCCAGCACCATCTCTGCTGGAGAGACCATTCTATTGCCATTGCTGGGACATGGCCTACCAGCTCTACTCCTACACCTTTTTCTGATCGGGTGGCTCTGTGTGCTCTCCCCAAGTAGGGGGTTGTCGACTTGAGGGCAGCAGTGAGGCCTGAAGTCTGCGTCTGCCACACTGCCCACCCTGAGGTGCCGAGGAAGCCAGCGAAACGGTGTCATGCTTCTCATCAGTAGCTCGTCTTAGTCTAAATGTACTTGTCCTCAGGCGGTCTTAGTCGTGAGCAGCTGTGCAGTATCTGAAATAGAGTCAAAGTAAGAGCCCAGCTCTCAGTGAGCTCAGGCCATCAGACGCTCCACAAACCCAAGGTGGCACCTCCTTTTCCCAAACTAAGGCCTCGTGCGGTGTGGCCCGGAAGCCTGAGGCTGGTCTGGTAACAGAGGACTTAGGGGATGGAGAGGGAAAGCCCCTTCACCCTCTTTTGGGGAGTATGGCAGCGGGATAGTGTGATTGCTTTTAAAAACTGTATGTTCTAATGCAAATTAGTGTTTCAGTTCAACGAAGTGGGGCTGTAGCCAGGTTCTCAGAAGTATATCAGTCTCACACGAGCCTCATTTAGCACATCATCTGTGTGACTGGCATAAGCTCATGGCCCGTGCCTCGAGGGATGCTGGGAGGAGTGGTACAGCCCCTTCTGCCCTGAGTTGATGCCTGCTGGCCCCGTGGTAAACACGGGCCTGGAATGGGCTGCCTTCGGAAGAGACAGCACGTCTACGAGCTCCCTCATAAATTGTGTACGAAGACATATTTCCACCTAGTGGAAATGTGGCCCTTACATAATTGAGGCCTCTTTCTTTCTTTTTTTTTTTTTTTAAAGATTTTTATTGGGGAATTGGGGGGATGGGAATAGCGCTGGGGAATTGGGGGAAGGGGAACCGACAAGTTGCTGTCCTTTTTGTTCTTCAGTCTAGTTGTGGAGGACGTTGCTTCACTGGCCCAAGTTGGCACGATCATTACGCTCTTCCCGGGCGAGGCAGATCAGTCGCCGGCTTCTGGACGGCCGCTCACTGCGGCTGCTGGCCGCTCACACTGGCTGCTGGCTACACACGGTAGCCCATGGCAACCCATTGCCACGGGGGCTGCAGCCCACGCTGTCGCCGGCGACTCACGGCAGCCCAGCTCCAGGTTGAGCTGTTGTTCAGCATCTTAGCTGTGGAGGGCAATGTCACTGGCCCTCATATGTGGGATCCGAACCAGGGCCCTCTGGTGTCCCAAGCCAACTCTTAACCATCGCGCCACTCGGCCGGCCCCGAGGCCTCATTTTTAAGTGGCAGGTTCAGCTGGTGTCCCTGTGCTGGAAGCCTGGGTGTTTGATTTTTTACACAGGTGGCTCGGCAGGTGCTCCGGTGGGCTGTGTGACGCCCCCTGCAGTCCCCACGTGCAGCTGGCCTCCGCTGCCAGGCTTTCACAGGGCGGCTCCACACTGACGCCTCCTGAGGGTTCCTAGTGAGCGTTTCATAACATGGGGTGCCCCCGGCTTGGCATCCCCTCGCCCCTCGTGGTGTCTGTTGGGCCAGCCGCTGCATTAGCAGAGGCCCTGATTTAATGGGACAATGATCTTGAACATTCAGCATATAGCTGTTGTTCATGACAGTGTGGCAGGAACAGTGAGAATGAACCAGGAGAAAGCAGGTGCGGGGAGGCTGATGGAGCCATGACAGGCAGGTGACCTGGCACGGCCTCTGCAGGGACAGTGGGTGTGCCGGGGACTCGGTTGCGCTCGGCACAGAATGGGCACGTTGGACGTCCTGTTTTGTGCGGAGCCTTTCTAAAGCTGTGGTTTGAGTGGGGCTTGAGTGGGGCTTGGCATGGCCAGGGAGGCTACAGGACAGGCCTCTCCTGGGTGAGCAGAGGGTCCCGGGTGCCTCAGCAGTGGTTCGCATTTTCTTTGACCCCCGGGAACTCCTGAAGGAGCTGTGAAGCCACATGGCGGTGAAGACAAAGTCGGTCAATCACTTTTTTCTTTTTTTTTTAATTTGCAGGTAGTTCCTGAAATGACTGAGCTATTGAAGAAAAAATGAGGCATGATCATGTCTTAAGAAAAATCACGTGCGAGGATTCAGCTGGAATCGTAGAAATTCATAGCTGTTACAACTATGAGACACCATGGAGAGTTGTATTTCATAATTTGAGGAAAACTTCTAAGAGATGCCAGAATGTGATTTTATGGGGCTATCATGTTTCTTTTTAATTATTTGTGGTTCCATGCCATATTTTGAAATTTTCTAATTCTGTAATAACACACGAAATAAAGTCTTTCCACAGATTTAAAGCTACAACGAGAAATATGCCTCGCTTCATAACGAGAGAGAAAGAGAGAAACACACACACACAACCGGAGAAAGGTAGTAATTCATTTATTATTTTTTCTTGGCTGGTCTTGTTCATGGAGGGCTGTGTTTGTGAGACTGTGAACATGGATGTTGCCGCCGTACTCACCCCATAAGCCAGTTTTTGAGAGAAGGGGTCTTGATTGCAAATTCAGAGTTTAAAAAGCATGGTCTCCCCACACAGCATGGACGTTACCCTAAATATGCCTCTGTCATCATCAGAAAACCATGCTCGTGTGCCGACAGCGCCGCAGACCCTGTGGGGCGTGTGCCGTGGGCGCTAGTGCAGTGCGGACAGGACCGTGTCAGGAAGGGAGGGGGCAACAGAGGAGGACCGCAGCCTCAAGACCCTTTGGCCCCTTGTGCTTATTAGACAGTTCGACACGATACACAGATTTCATTCTTGCCTCCTTCACGGCTTCCTCTGTGCACTGGCGCTCGCTCTCCTGTCCAGGCGCACGGCCGAGGTCGAGACGGTCACGAGGAGCAAGCAGAGGCTGCTGAGGTGGTGGCCAGGCCCACAGGAAGGCGGGGACGGGGACCTGGGCCCACAGGTGAGCTGAGTGACGAGCTGACAGCCTGGAGCACATGTGCAAGTTACAGGAGTTCACAGGACGAGGAAAAGAGCTCAGAAGGGATGGGAAGTGACCAGTGCTGCCCGAGGGGAGCGCACAGGGGCCAGCCAGTTCCCTTTGTGTGGCCGGCCTGGGGCTAAAAAGTGGAACCCTTTGTGATTTGTGTGGTAGCCACTTGTTGTAACTCAGCTGATGAAGTTAAATGTCGCTGGCATTTCCAGCCTGTCTGAGTGATGTGAGAGGACAGCAGCGAAGCGATGCTCTGTGTTTAAGTCATGGATCCTTGCTGTCAGTGCGCGGCCGCCTGGTCTAGCCCTGGTACAGGGCGGAATGTAGTGACTTGTCTGAGGCCCTGGGCTGGGATCACCCTCAGGACAGGGATGCTCAGGTCTTGTCCACCCCCTCACCCTTGCTGGACGGATAGCACAGGTGATGGTGTCCTGACTCACGGAGGACACACGCGCACACACGCACGTCTGTGTTCCTCTGGCTCCCTCCCGCCTCGTGTGCCTCAGCCCCAGGCAGCTGCTCATGGCTTGTGCCCTGGCCCCTGTGGCCATCATGCCAGCAGCAGCGTGGTGTTTGCGCAGGGCACCACACACAGGCGAGACAGCTCTGGGATGGCACATGGCACATTATGCTGAGGTCCCTGTCTTACAGCTGAGGAAGCTGAGGCACAGAGTGGTGGTGCAGCTTGGCCGCGGGACCAGGGAACAGGGGCCGAGTGCCAGGGCACACGCAGGCTCCCCGCAGAGGAGGAGCCATGGTGTTCACCTCCCTTCCTAGCAGCATGGTCTTCAACTCCGTTCATGTGCCAGAGGGTGGCTTCGATGGCCCTCTTTATGTCTGCTTGACTGGAAACCCAGCAGTAGGTCACTTGGGGACGGGTGTGGGAGCGGCCGACCTTCATGTGCCCACCTCTGTCCCGAGGCTTTGAGGTCTGTGGTCAAGATCGCCCAGTCCCTGGGATTTGGTGGCCTGGTTACTTTGGCAGAAACCTGCACGTAGAAAGGGCCCCCAGCGGGCGTCTGGCTGCTCACAGGGTCCGGCTTCTCCCCTGGCCCCGTGCCGTCTGGGGAATGTCCCTGCGGGCCGTGTGGGACTCGGGAGCGCAGCCTCTGACCTAAGTGAAGAGCTCGTGTTCTGAAGGGACAGTGGCAGATGGCCAGACCCTGAGAACACCGCCACCGGGTCACAGCCCTCCCTTGAGGCTTGGCAGCTCCCAGGAAAGACGAGACGAGATGCTGATCAGACAAGTGGGCAGCATGACGTCAGCACAAGGGCTCCCTCGCTGAGCCCACAGCGTCCCCATGTGGGGTGTGGGGCAGGAGCAGGGGGCAGGGAGGGGTTGTGCCGCCAAGTGAGTTTGGCCTGCCTTTCTGTTCGTAGGTCAGTGGGTCTCAAACTTTGCCCGCGGAGCCGGACCAGGGACGGTCCCGTGCCAGGTGCGTCAGAAACAGGCTTTCCTGATTTGCAGGAAAATCAATCGATTCGCCCAATCTTGAGTCTTTCTGGCACTGTCTTCTCTACATGTTGGTGCCGGAGGAAGGGAAGCTGACAGTGGAGCGAGTGGGCCAGCAGCAGCCACTGCCCTTGCCCCTCGCTTGTGTGTTAGCTTGAAATCTGTCAGCTTATCGAGGGTGTTCCACCAAGAGCTGCGTCACTGCCACCCTCCTGGCTACCAGGGGCCATTGCCATTTTGTGAGGAAGGCCCGTGCCCTAATGTCCGTGGAACCGCCTGCCAGCAGTGTGTACAGGATAAGGGGTTGGGGGAGGAGGAAGTGATGGACAGGGCGGGGGGTGAGGGGGTCAGCTCCAGGCTGGACAGTGGGCTTTTCCTCTGGCGCGTCTCTGCTGGGGGCCTGACGCCCAGTGGGTCAGGTAGCTGGCTGGGTGGCATCACACACCGTCTCACGAGGGTGTTGTGATCTGCATGAGAGTGTCCTTACGAGGCTGAGACACCCAGAGGACACTGTGGCTTCTAGAAGCTGGATTGGGCCAGCCGAGCTAAAGGCGAACTCGCTGATCACTGTGCAGAAAGCCTATTAGAGTTTCCGTATCTGTAGGTTTCAGAGAGTGTTTTGTGGGGGACACAAATGAAGACACCTTGCAGGTTACCCCGGGTTTACAAAGCGTTTCGTGGAAGTCAGCACCTCAGAATTGGAAAAGGTCGGAAATAGGGAAGGAGCCAGTAGGGGGTGACCTCGGGCCAGCCCGCACTCAGCCCCAGGCCGTATCCCAAGTCCCTCTGTGGGAGAATGGGGGACGTCCCTAATCCGGCCTGGCTGGGGTGGGTGCCGTGGAGGCAGCCAGACGGACAGCAGACGTGACCCAGGCAGAAGCACCAGGAGCCGGGTGGATGCTGCGCCCTGATTGTGTCTGAGCCACCGTGCTGGGGACGCAGGCAGGGCTCCGTACCCCACTCATTCCTCCGACGTGCTGTGGGTCCTCACTGCTGTCGGTGGAGGAGTCCCATCACCACCGAGTCTGTCACCACGGTGTGCCATGTCCTCATAGGTGTCCTCTGCTGGTACCGGCCGAGTCAGGCCTGCTGCCCTGCGGTCTGCACAGAACTGTGCCAGGGCTGTGCGGTGGGTCATTGAGCAGCGCACTTCGCAGCAGGTGTCGTGTCATCTCCTTTGGATAATTAGTGTTCGCCAGGAGACGGCACCAGTTTTCGGCACTGGAGCCAAAATACCCAGAGCAGTCATGTAGTCCTTTGCTCCCAGGAAGGCAGGTAAGGTACCTCCTGTCTTGGGAAGCACAGTGCTCTTCACCCAAGTCAGGGTGACGGCCGTAGTCACGGGAGCCAATGGGATGTGTGTGCAGGGCCAAGCTGGGAGGAGCAGACTGCCTGGGCTGGGCACGGCCCTGTCCCGTCAGCCCCCACCCACAGCACACTGTCCGCAGCAGGCAAGGTCCCCAGACGCTTTCCCAGACATGCTGAGCGTGGGCAGGCGCTGCACAACCCAGGCATCCGTTATCCTTGAGGGTACCTTCTGCTGTGTCTCCCTCGAGACATTCTCCAAGGGCTTTCCCTGCAGTATGTCATTGGCTGTCCCTGCAGCCATCACGAGGGCAGGGGACCCCAAACATCTGAGTCAAGTGCAGGCTCTGGGGCAACAACCCTTGTGCACAGCAGCAGCTGGGCCGAGGATGGGAAGCCGCAGCAGAGGTACAGCTGTCTTGGGGCTGAGGACCCCGGAGACAAACCCCGCCACGCTACACAGCATCCCGGACCACGCACCTCTCTCGTGCAGGGTTTCAGACTTGGTCTTCAGAAAGCCGGGGTCGGAGGCCGTACCCAGGGCTGGCTGGAAAGGGGCCCGTGGTGCCATTCAGGGCAGGCTGACTGTGGGCCAGGCCTGCAGCCCAGCTCTCCTGGGGGCTGGCCTTGTCTGAGCCATGTCCTTGCTGCCAGGTTGGCGTGTCAGGGTGGCAGCTTGGCCACAGGATTGGCCAAGGCTAGTATGGGAGGATGGCCCGGCTACGGTGACTGCCTGGGGCTGGAGGCCTGAGTTCTGGCTGCCCTCATGTCTCCAGGTTTAATTCCAGGCGGCTCATTTCTGCCCATGCAGGATGGAATGGAATGCACAGACCAGGGTTTGAGCCTTTCCACTGGTGTCCAGGGTAGCAGTGTGCCCTCAGGCCTGATTTCTCTTCTCCAGCAGGGAAAGCAGCACCTCTCTGCAGGGCTGTGATAAGGAGCCCCTGTCACAGCAGGAGATGAGTGAGGGGCAGCCATTAGTGTCATCAGTCTCCTGTTGGCTTCAAGCAGACAGCTGCTGTTTCCCAGAACCTCCTCCCTCTGGGAGGCTACCAGAGGGGGGCTCTGCCGGGTGGAGGAGCAAGGGGGAGCCGTCCCCCAGGGATGCTGAGCCTCAGCTGCCCACCAGCCGGGAACGCCAGGCTGTGGCTCCCAGGGGAGCCCTAGAAGGCGAGGTATCTTCCTCTCACGTCATGCACTGCAGGCCTCAAGGTAAGTGTGACCCTGTAAAGCCGTGACCGTGGACTGCCCTCGCAGAGGTGGGGACCAGCCCTGGTGCCTTTCTCCCCAGTCTGACACCCGTCCTGCCCGTTTCCGTGTGAAGGCAGATGGGCAGCTCGCAGCAGTGTGGAAGTGCAGAGAGAAAGCCGCTCTTACAACTGGGGCTGTAGCCGGCTACTCCAGGACCGCGCTGGCTCCTGGCCTAGAGGTCCCACATTAGGAAATGCCCTCCAGCCTCCTCGTGTGACGGAAGCTGAGAGTGACCATTGTGCTTCTCGAAGCTCAGACGCCTGGGAGCACACTGCCGGGGGCCTCGCATCAGTGTTTGGCCTTGAGTCTCAGACCGCGCTCTGAGCCCGGGGCTTTTCGCCTGTGAAGTGGGTTAGTGACACCCACGTGACAGGGTCCTCGGGAGGTGTCAAGGAGCCTCAGTGGAGTGCTGAAAGCTGTAATTTTGCCTTTAGTGACCCAGGATGCCTCAGGTGACACCCCAAGATGGGTCAGTTGGACACTTAGTCCTTAACTCTTTTGACAACTGCTGGTGTTCCTCCCTTTTAGCCGTGTGTCCCAGGTGACCCATCAGGGCGACCCCAGCCAGGCACTGCACTCTCTTCAGTAAGCCCCAACCGAAGGAAGACGCCTGCCAACGCTCAGGTCTTGAGTGCAGCTGGTTTTTATTCTTCAAGCTGAGATTGGACAAGGGCTGTTCCCTCCCCACCCTCCCACCTTCACACCTTGTGAAGGTGACAAGTAGACACGTCCTGAAAAGATGCAGAACTGCTCATGCGGAAATGAGCTGGGAGTGGAAGAGGCTCAGGTGGTGGTGTGTGTGGGGCACCTGGGGCTCCTGGGAGGGAGGTGCTCACAGTGCTGTTCCCGACAGTCCGGGAATGAGGCATGGCTGAGCCTGGACTCGACCCTGCTGAGGCTGGTGGTGTGTAAAAACGGTTTGGGAGACCCCAGCCACGAGCACCAGTCCGACGGGGGCCAGAGGAGGAGCTAGCTCGGGGCCCCCTGGCCTGGCGTCCCCGCCTTGGACTCAGGTGGCATCCTTGTCTGCCATGGAGGCCTCGAGGACCCTGTGCCGTGTCTGCTCTCTGTAGTCCACACACCTGAACTTCTCCTCTGGGTGTGACAGCAGGTGGGAGGTGGGGGACAAGCTTCATCTGAAGGACAGTGAAGCCCTCCTGGTTGGTCTGGCTGAACAGGCTTATGCTGCGCTCCAGCGCGTGTCTGCTTTGGGCACAGCCTGTTGGGTGAGGCAGAGGGGGCTGGGCTGGCGTCTTGGGACAGGGGAGACGGCAGGTCCCGGGCTGTGGCATCCACGATCTGCCACTGGGGTGGTGGCAGTGGTGAGGGGCTGGCTGCAGGATGTGTCCTCATGGGTGGTGCTGTAGTCTGTGGAAGAACACAGTGTCTGGCTGCTGTCGCTCTGGGCCTGGGTGATAGAGCTGGGAGTGGAGTGGGAGCTGGTGCCCGGCTTCATGGCCACGTCCACGGAGCAGGCCTCAGAGGTGACATGGGGCTGGTGGATGTCGATGGCAGCTGTGGTGACCACACAGGTAGTGGGCTCTGGGACTCGGGTGCCTGCAAGAAAGGAGGGGAGCGGGTCAGGCTGTGGAGGCAGTATGTGCGCGCAGGTGGGAGGACGGCCACACAACGCGGGTCTGAGAGAGCACTGAGGTGAAACTCAGGAGCATTCAACATGGGAGTTGCTGTGTGGGGTGATGTTTTATTTCGTCACTGTACAGGAGTAGGGAGCCCCCCTACAGGCAGTGGCCAGTTGGGTGTTCTGGGAGGGGGCACTGGGGGAGGATGAGGAACACAAGGCCTAGAGGTCTGCCTTTCTGCTCAGTGTGTCGTGGCAGCGTATTAGAAGGAGGGCTGCTGGACCAGGGCAGGGGTCATCTGCATTCCCACAGAAGGGGGGCTCCCGTGGGCGAGTACTTGACTCCCCACTCACAACACACACGTCAGGGTAATAAACCGAGCAAACCTGTGTCCTGGTCCGTCACAAGGGGAGGCATGTTGGGCTTGGTGGGACTGCGTCGGGTGTGTTGGAGGTAGAGAGGTGACCAGGAGGGGGGACTACGGGGACCGTGCGCTTCCCTATGTCACATCTTCATTGGGATGATGCGTATCCTGCCAAGTGTCTCCCTCCTGTCTTGCACATCCTGCCCCCAGAGGTCACAGTGATCTTTGGGACATCAGATGTTCCTTTGACCACTTCACTGCCTGAAGCTCTGCAGACTCTTCATCTGTTAAATCAGAGTTTGCTAAGTTTTCCTAAAATGGAACCCTGTGCTCAAAAATAATAATCTTTGATTGGAATCAATAACTGCTTAGAAGTTGTGGGAGGCCCCAGAGCTGTGGAGTGTTTGAACCACAGAACTTCATACTGGCTTCCTTCAGTCAGTGGCCTCAGCCCTCATCCTCTCGTGTAGGGGGGGGGGGGGGGGCAGGTCACACTAAAAGTAAAAAAGCCAATACTTTTCCTCCCACCTGTGTGTTAATCAGATTAACAGAAGAAAGTCCAATACACGCACCACGCAGATGGGGAATTCACATGAGCATGAAAATTCCAAACACAGCAAGGCAACATCGAGTATAAATGACATTTTGAACAAAGCAGAAGGGGGGTGGGTGTTGGATTTCAGAAGTGAGAATGGGTGATTTATAGGATAATTGAAGGGTGTAACGCACATGGCAGGCAACTCAGAAACAATTAGATGCCTCTCATGACAGGCCTCTGCTGACACCTTTCCAGCTACCACACTAACTCAGACTAGGTGAATTTAAGATTTCTTTCCTGGAGGTTTTTCCATCTGAATCTGTTAGGCAGGACATGGGGAGGGTCAAAGGTTTGTTCTGAATCTTCTTTGTTTTCACTCTGAAATCAAAATTCCTAAGTGCAAAACTTTGGTCCCCTTCGGTCCCAACTTTGACAAAGTTTCACATTCCAGAAGCTAAGTTGGTAGGTTGCTCCTGATCATTGATCCAGACATTTTGTCCTGAGAATAAAGCAGTTTAAAGCGTTGATCTCATTTCAGGTGGGCTACTGTAAGCAAGGTCAGGTTTAGTTTGGAGGGTTGCAGCTAACATCCAGAAGTTAGAAGTCGGGATATAGACATTTATAGGTGAAAAATAAAAACTATCAACTGAAATAGACTGAAACACAATATTTCTCCCTAAAATCTCCCATTTTCAATTTTTATCAAAGATGTCTATCTCTTCATACCATTACAGTTTTCTTTCAATCTTTCTATTGGGTCATTGGAAAAGTCATGACTTTTCCAACAACCCAATATATCTCTTATCATATCAATATATCTTTTTCTATGTACATATCTTTATACGTCTTTCTCTTTCATTTTTTCTTACTCTATATCATCTTCCTCACCATCTTTTCTTTGCTTCCATCTGTATCACCTTTGTCTTGTTTCTTCTATCTTTTGATCATTCTTTCGTTCTATCGTACTGTCACACTATCGTAGCCTCTTTCAGACAGAAGCAAGAATGGCAGGGGGATGAGCTAGTTCCTATTCCACATGAGTCTCTGGTTTTATTTTGGGCTTTGGGGTAGAGGAGGGGCTGGAAGGCGAAGCAGGGTGGGCACTGTGGAAGTCGGGGGACTGCATCAGGTGTGTGGGGGTTGAGAGGTGACCAGGAGTTGGGGGCAAGGTGGGAGGGGCACTGTGCACCTCCCTCTCTGTTGTGCCGGCAATTTCTTAATTGGACACAGCTGTGTGATTAATTGGAAACACCTATGTTTTTATTAAGACACGGGAGGGAGACCCAGGCAGGACACACATCATCTCGTGGCGACGTGAGAGACAGAGGGAAGCGCACGGTCACCTCTCTACCCCCGACGCAGTCCCACAATGCCCACCATGCCTCCCCTTCCAGCCCCCCTTCTGCCTCGAAACCCCAAAGAAAAGCAAGCAGCCACGGACCCGGACACAGGTTTGCTCGGTTTATTATCCTGATGTGTCAATGTACTCGCCCACGGGAGCCCCCTTTTCCCTCACTGCAGACGACCCCTGAACCGTGCCCTGGAGGACCCCAGCACCCCTCCTTTAAACAGAACTAGGCTGAAAGCCCACCCTCAGCCTTCGATTCTGATCTCCCCGTCTGGCTCCCTGAAACCCGACTTGCTTCCCCTCTAGTACTCACATCATCCTGTGTGACAGTGTCAGACCACACAGAGGGAGACACGGGCACGACACACCGTCCTATATGACAATGTTACAGTCAGGGAGACACGGAGTCAAACTGTCTCCCTCATCCCCCAACCTGCCCCCCTTCTAATCACGTCACTACCCACCCTGACACCTGACTTGCCTCCTACTGCATGGGACTCGCGTCCTCTTAAGGCTAAACACTGACGCCGGCTCTGCTGGACACAGTAAGGCCCAGACCACCTGACTGACACGACACTGTGGGAGTGAATGCCACGGTTTTCAGACATGTCACCACAGCCAATCTCTATGGGCAAGCTTCAGGGGTAACACGTTTGGGACGGAACTTCATTGCCTCCACAGGGCACCGTGAACTTGGCCGGCGTGGGTGTGGCTGTGACCCACCACAAGCTGCTCTGGCTGCAGGCGCTCTTCACTCCTGAGACGCCTGCACGCCCACCGCCCTGCGCTGCCCTCCTGCAGTGAGCGAAGGCCCCTCCCCGGGGTCCTGTGACGAACTGCTCCCAGCTGCAGGTTAATCCCTGCACAGTGTGGGTACTAATGGGACTTGGTGGGCCTCAACGTCACTGGTAGCAACACACACTCTGCTCCCCGCCTTCTGCCACAGAAGCCATGGCTCGGCTAATGGTGACTCTCCGTGTTGGCTGTGAAGTGCTGTTGGGGGCCGCGGGGCCTGAGGCACTGCCCTGGCATTGGGATGCTCAGGGTGTGGGGTGGGGGTGCAGTACAAAAGAACTTGGAGAACTTGTCCCCCAGGACTGGCTGTGGGAATGCAGGCAGTGGTTCCTGGAGAAGGAAGCACCCATCCACTATGCAGAAAAACGGCAGCCCAGTGGGCGCTCAGCGTCAGGGAGTTTTCTGACCGTCACAGCCAGCCCTGTGAAGTTGGGGCTGTAACCTTCCCTGGGAGGTTTGGAGAACCTGTTCTTGGAGGGAGTGACGGGTGGGGTCCACGCATCAGCTGGAGGTTTGGACTCAGAAACCGCTCCAGCCCTGAAGGCAGCAATCAACCAACACCCATCAGCTCCCACGCCTCCTGTGAGACCCACACAGCGGGACTCAGCAGTTCACATCACGGAAGGGAACACGGAAGTGTCAGGACCTAAAGCCGGAGAGGCAGGGCCTCTGCGGCCCAAGTACCCAGCCCTGTCCCTCTGTCCTCGCTGCCCTGGCAAGGGGAACACCCACAGCGAGGTGCAGTGTGCTAGATCATGCTGGGCTTAGGGTCCCACAGCCTGGGTGTCAAGCCCAGCACCATGTCCTGTGAATGGGTGGCCCTGTGACGAGCATGTCACTGAGACCATTTCGAGGTCAGGATAGCCTAGTTAGCCGTCTCCTCCTGGGCTCACAGGGAGCCCCGGTCTGAACATCACCCCAAATCGTGGGCCAGAGGGGCGCAGTCGCGAAAGGGAACGCGCTCCAGCTCCAGGGAGCCCCGCAGCGGCTTACCTGCCGGCGGTGGCAGCGCCTCCACGCCGCTCCGGGCCGCTGTGTCCCCCCGCACCTGGTCGCGGCTGCGCTGCCGGCCGAGCACCTGCGGGGCAAGCAGCGCCGCCTCCCGCTCAGCGGCCAGGTCCAGACCCTGCTGCGCCAGGTGCGCACGCAGCTGCCGGATCTCGAACTGCAAGAGAGGAGGGGGGTGGGTGTGGGTGTGAGGGGGCTCGGAGCCCGGCAGGCCGCCCCCCTGCTGTCCGGGGCGCTGCTCCCACGGCTGCCGAGCCCCCACCATCACCCCCGGAGCCTCTTGCCGGTGACACTGCGGCCATCTCGCCTGTGGCCCCTTGAGAGGCCGGGAGAGGACACCTCTGGGCTTCGCGGGAGACTCATTTTGAGCGTCGTCAAAGTGAAACCCTTTCAGGTGTCCAGACTGATGACCGCAGCGAGGACCACCCCGGGTGCTTACTGGCCATGTGGCCGCCTTTCCTTATTTGTAAAATGGGCGTTTTCATCCACCCAGCCCTTTGAGCACTTGGGTGTCACCCAAAAGCTTTGTAAAATGCCCACATTGGTTTAGTGTTTGGGGGAAAAGCTTTTAGAAGCATTTCTGGATGCTTCGTGGGTTTGCAGCAGAGATGACCGTCTGGGGTCTGCCTCTGCAAGGTGGCCTTGGGCTCAGGAGGAAGGGGCCTTCACTGCCACTCAGGGTTCAGAGCACATGCCAGGCTCCCCCACAAACTGTCTCCAGGAGCAGGTCGGGGTGGGAGGCCCTGACCCCTCCAACTCCTACCTGCGGCAACGCAGAGTCTGGCACAGGAGTCACTGACAACCTAGTCAAAGCAACTCTCCACTGCACCCCTAAACCTGCTCGCCGGGTGCGCTCAGCTCATTGGAACTGGAGCCAAACCTGCTTTCCTGCATCCCCCCCATCTCTGACCTGGACCCCTGCCACTTGTACAGACCTGTGCCACAGCCCGAGGGAGCCCCACGTCACCCCAGTGTCCTTACACCTCAGTTGGGACAAAACTCCAGCTCCTCACCTGGCGCGTCCTCCCATCCTCTCCCGTCCACCATGTGCCTCAGTAACTACAGCAGCCGGTGGATGTCACCGGCGCCGGTGGATGTCACCGGCGCCCTCTGTCACAGGGCCTGCTCCCCAGCTGTTGGAATTCTCTGCATTGCATCTAGCACCTTCTGATAGCTTGGCTTCTTGATTGTAATGTACCGGTTTTCTCTCGATAGTGAAACACACTTTAAAGCACTCACTGGCACCGGGGTGGCCAGGCGGCACACACTCATCTGGGCAACTGCCCACTGCCGTGTCCACAGGTTTTGGGTCTGGGACCACTCGGTGTTCCAGTGGGGTCACCAGCTTCCTGCGTGGGGGGATGGGCAGGGGGTCCCTTTTACTTCACCCTCATTTTCAGGGCTGCCCCCCCCCAGGCCCTTGCCTAACCCAGTGGTCACTTACAGAGCCTTCTAGGTCAGTGTCCTCCAGGACAAGCATCCGGCTCACGAACGGTGGGGGCTGCACTCACCCCCTTCCTCCCAAACTCAGGGGCTCTGAGGGGACGACTGGCCGCAGGCACTTTAGTTACAAATTCTCTCCACTGTGAGGCCAGTTAGCATTCTCGGTTGTCCCCAAATCCACTGAGATTTCTATCCTCTTTGCCCTGATGGACAGGACTTAAAGGTACAGTTTCTTAATTCTTGTGTGTGTCAGATTTTTTTTTTTAAAGCCTGATTTGTAGCATGTGTTAATCTCTGGGGTGCACATACTCCCACTGTGGCCGATTTCAAACTACCAACACTGGGTCCTGCAGAATTGGGAAGACGTGCCCAGCTGACCACTGCCACCCTTCACACTCATAGGATGTCATGTCTGTAAGAACAGGAGGCACTCAGGAAACGGTGTTGAGTACGTGAATCAATGAAGTCAGCTTGGCTCAATCCTGCGGTTTCAGCGTGAGTCCAAAACTCCAGCCACAAACAGCCCCAACTCTGCCCAAGTGGAGACAAAGCCTGAGCCCCAACACCAAGTCCCTGCTGATCCTGCTCACACAGCTCTAACTCTGGCCTCAGGCTAGGCTCAGACGCTGGACCTCAACAACCAAGTACTCAAATGGGGCCGTGGCCTCAGAGGGCAAGAAATCGGGGCTGCCTTGTTATAGGGTGGCCTGTGCCAGGAAAAGGGCTCCAGCCCCCGCTCTGGTAGCAAAGTCTCAGAGGTCACAGAGGGCCCAAGAGGCACCCCTCTGCGCTCTGCTGGGGTTGGGGGGCCCTCCTGCCCAGCCAATCTGAACTTCCCGTGGGCATACCCAGCCCACTTTCTCCAAGGCTGCTTATCGGGCCAGCGCGCCCAGCTAATCGTCTCTGAGGCCACTCTGAACAGATGCATTATTGATAACTTGTAATTGATACAGAGCTGCCCCTGAGGGTCCCACTGGAATTCAGTCCAGACAGCCAGAGGCCAGGAGTGGCCCCGCCTGGAGCCTCGATGTGCAGACAGACTCAGGCACGGTGAATACAGGGTTTCGGCTACACATGTAAGTCCCAAGTGTGTGGTCACTCTCCCATGCACTCACCCACTCACGGAGGAACCTAACTGCTGAGGGCTGTGTTAAAATTCTGTTACGTGTTTTAGAATGAAAATACAACTCCAAGCTGACAGGAGTCGTGGGTGGCCCACTGTGGGGGGTGCTGTGTGCCGCACTGCAGGGAACAAACCTCCTGAGGGCTGGCTCTGGGTGCCCCTTCTGGCCAAGGACGCATGGTGGGTGTGACACAGGACTGGGAGGAAAGGGGGCTGTGGAGGTCGGCAGGGGCCACACAGACTGAGCCTTGTGGCCACAGAAGATGTTCTGAGGGCTCAGCCTTCATTTGAAGAGCAACGAGCAGAACCCTCTGACACAGGCTGGTGTTGGGGGTGGCGGGGCATTTGGAAAGGACGATGCTCACAGGAGAGTGGACAATGTACTGGACGGGGAGGGCAGGGCGGCTCTGGGAGGTGACTGCAGCCAGTGGTCCTGGCCAGAATGGGGACTAGGGCGGAGGCAGTGAGATGGAGATCGGGGAAGGGGTCCACATGGGCCTGGGCTGCAGTGGGGCTGAGGGACAGGGCACCTTGCTTTGGGGGCGCATTTGGACAGCCTTGGTAAGCGGAGGGTGTGGAGTGGCTCGATTCTCTAGGCCCTTGCCCTGAGGTCCTAGGGGGGCCAAGTGGCTCCCATCGCAGCTACTGGCGGTCAGGATGTCCTAGCTGGGACCCTCAGAGCTGGCTCCCAAGTCCCCTACACATGCTTCCCCATCTGACTGCAGGGCTGTCGGCGGGTGTGTCCTAGGAGATCACAGCCTCAATAGTCAGGTGGGTGAACTGAGGCCCCAAGATGGTTAGGAGCCTTCTGTGCTGGGGGACAGGCAGGGTGGGGAAGCCTAGGACCACATGGTGAATCACAACCCAAGCCTCTGGCTTCCACCCCACACACCCTGTGTCAGGGAACTTGAACCTCAGGGGTGAGATGCTGGTGCCTCAGCTCAGACGGGAGTGCTTGGTGGACGCAGGCCTGGGAAGAGCAGGAGGCCCCACGTGGTCAAGACAAAGGAAGGAGCCTGAGTGCTCGGCCACCACCCCTCCCCTCCCTGCTGTGGGTCAGGGTCTTTCCTCTTTGGGCCTTGGTTTCACTGTGTGTTCAATATGGCGTGGGGGCTAGCTTAATTCTGAGTCTACGGTGCACTGTGTGCTGGCTCTGGGGCCCCGGCTGGGAGGGAACAACATTCAAGCGCCAGTGAGTTTTAGCGCTGAACTGAGGGCCATCCCCTGCTCCCCTCCAAACCACCCCAACCTCTTGGAAGGATAGCATGCTTCAGGACCTCTAAATGTTTTATCACCGATGTGCAGCACACAAGAAGAATTACTATCCGTGCGAATAATCAGGAAAGAGTGACAGACTATCAAGACATAAAGCAGTTAATTGAAGCTGCCCTATGTAACTATTTGAGTTGACAAGGACTTCAAAATAACTGTGATTAATATGTTAAAGAAATAACGGGAAAGATGGACACAATGGATGTAGCATTTCAATGGAGAAAAAGACCTATAAAATGAATCCAATGAAACTTTACAAGCTCAATACACAGTATCAGAAACTGAGTACTCACTTGGACTTCACAACAGATTTGAAATAGCAGAAGCTGGAATGTTGAACTTGAGTATAGGTCTATAGAAAAATAAAAACTTGCAAACAGAAAACAGCAGGGGATAGAATGGGTTTAAGGAAGATGTCAGGATCAAAACCCACCCTCCTGCAGCTCAAGCCCCAGGAGGAGAATGAAAACAGGACAAGTAGTAAAGACATCATGGCCAGTAACTCTCCAAATCTAAAGAAAGACATCAACCCAGAAATTCAAGCAAGTTGGAGAATCCTAGCAGGATAAATGCAGACACCCCTTCATCAGACTGCTGAACAGATGAGACACAGTGAGGCTCTGCAGGCCCCTCGAGGGCCTGGCCCACTGGAACAGAAAGCGCACGGTGCTTCGATGACCAAATGAGGCAAGATTCCCAGTGGCAGACAGGCCAAGTGGGCAGAGGCCATCCTGTGACCCAGGAGGAAAGGCAGAACACACCCAGCCCTACCCAACATGATGCACACCATTAGCTACTAAGTATCACAACGGAGATAAGCTGAGCAGCCCAGGTGGCCCACAAGGACGGCCTCAGCCAGCGTTGCAGGACTGTCGGCCCCTCCCCTTGGGCTGAGCCTTAGAGCACGGCCCGGTGGCGCCAGCCTGGGGTGGCGGGGCAGCACCGCAGAACATCCAGTGCATCTCTGCCTTGCATGGTCCAGTGCATGCAGTGCAATCCACACAGCCTCAGCCTGATCAATACACACTTGGCCAAACACTCGAGAGCATCTAATGCAACAGCAGTAACTTCCTTCAGTCCTATTAGTGCTGTCTGCATGGACTGCCCTGCCTCAAACCCATCTGCTACCGGGATGGCATCCAATGTTTATTTCCATTAGTTTCATCACTGTTGGTAACAATAAAAATCAGGAGACAGTTGCAAACTAATGATTTAGGAGCAGGGTGAAGCTGAATTTGACCTTGGCCCCTTTCCATCTACTATGAAGATGGCTGGGAGTTTGCCATAAATTTAAATTACGGCAAAAGAATAACATAAGT